CCAGAAAAGCTGCTGACAGTAAGAAACATTTGGCAGCGGAGGGTCTCTCAGAGGAGGGAAGAGGAGCAGAAACACAACCACATAGGATGCTTAAAATGGGCTGGACAAACAAAATCCTGCAGAATGAAGCTCTGGGTCAGCTCCTGCCCAAGCAGGGCCAAGTGTGGAGGAGCCGCTGCTCCCCTCTGCCAGTGCCCAGGGATGGCTGCAGGGAAAGCAGGAGCTGGGGATGCTGCTTTAGGGAGCACTGGCGAGGCCAAACAAACCTGCTCTGGCTAAGCCCTCGTGCTGAAGGAGCATTCTTCTGTTGGCCAGAACCACAAAGCCAAAGTTTCAGTCTTAGGCACTTCAGCACATGTGTAGGCAGTGAGTAACCATAAGTGACTATAAACAGTAGCTGTTGACACCTTTAAACCCATACTGGTTTCTGGTCCCTCTTCACCATCAGTATCATAGGCTTTTGGGGAAAGAACCGGATATTTCTGAGAAAAATTAATCATACTTAAGTGATATAATGACTATTGGCAGTTAACGGCTCAGTGGCTCTTCTCCCCCCACCTCTTTCCCCTCTGCTCACGACTGGCAGAGGAGTGAAACCATCATTTCAGGAGCAAACGGCTCCAATGAAACCAAGTCATGCTTTTATTTCATGTGTTCCTAGATCTGTTACAGAAGAAAGTTATTAATTGCCTGCCTCCGCCCCTTCTAGGAAATTGTGAATCAAAAGACAAGATAAGCAGAGATAAGCAAGTTAAAATACTCATTCTTAAGGGTGCCAGCCCTTCTCTACACGACTCTTTTAAACCTGCTTCTCCCTGGCGGGTCCCGTGGGACCAGTTGCTCCAGTGTGCACCACTGGGGCTGTTCCACATCCCCCAGTGTCGCTGCGGGGGCTGGGAGACCCCGAGCTCCCAGGGCAATAGTGCCCAGTCTTGTGGCACAGTCTAAGGCACCCGGGGGGAACTGGGGGCTCCAGTCTCGGCGCATCCAGCCTGGCTGTAGCTCTGTCTGCAGCACGGCACCCAGGACACCCCCAGCCCTGCTGCAGTGCTGGGAGGCACAGGGAACCCTCACACCCCCCGGGGAGTTTGAAGCTCTGACACCTCCTGTTGCATCTCTTCCAAAGCTGAATTCATTACTCCTGGAACAGGCCTTTACTGGGATGACCTCCATGGCCACTGCCCCATCCCAGCTCTGACCCTGCTCCCTGCCAGAGGCCTCAGCTCTATTGTAAACCCAGTTGGGTTAATTGGGTTCTAAACCAGTTTACCCCCCTGAGTGTTTGTCCCTCTTCCCTGCGCTGCCTCGTTCACACTGGGATTAACCTTTGCAAATATTTGAGCAATAAAAAAATAAAAACAAGTGAAAAAGGACTAGATCAGAGCGTCCTAGAGGACAGAAGAGGCTTCATCTTATCTGCCACATCTCAGACCTGCGGTGTCTTTCCCCTCCTACGGCTGCCCACCTACTCAAGCTCCTGGGAGCTGGTGCCTGCAGAGCACCAGCTGTGGAAGGACAACAAGAAAAGGCAAAAGCAAGTTTGAAACTTCCAGCAGGAAACAGAAACAAATGATCTTGTGCCTCCCGGGCTAATGGGATGTCAAGCACCAAAGAAGAGGTTTCTCTTAATTCTCTTCTCTGGGTGCTTTGTGATGGGCTGAAGTACAGACCTGTTCACCAGTGCCTGGACTCAGCAGCTCTGAGCAAGTACAAAACCATCATTTTTGCAGCAAAGTTTGGTTGCTGCAATGAAGATATTTGTTAACAATTTGCAAAAGATGGGACAAGAGTTAGCCAACAACAAACTCCGATGCGTTTGCTCCCAGTTCCTTGATTTAGTCATTGAATTCAAATGTTGCCAAGGAGATGGAATTCTCTGGGTTTTAAATTTTTGCCTTTTTATGAAAATGAAGAACATAGAGAAAAAGGAGTGATACAAGAGGAGCTCATTTGCTCTGGGACAAAACAACCCCTTGAAATTACCTCCAAGCCTATTTCGCGCGTGTGCGTTTCTGGTCATTGAGCTTTTTGAGCTTGCAAAAGAGAACTTCGCCTTTTTAATAGGAAATGAGGAAGGGGAAAGTCTTTGATATTGTTTATAATACTCCGTTAAAAGTGCTTCATCCCTGTGTCATAGGGCATGAACTTGGGCATTATTAACAAAGCTGAAGCCAAAGCCAGAGGCTGAGAGCAGGTACTCACCACCATCCATGGTCTTGTCTCTAGCGGATGAAGTCACAAGTGAGCAAGAGCATCGCACGTTCCCGCGCAGCCTCAGCCCCTGCCAGAGACCCTCTTTGGGAAACTCTGGCTTTTATACTTCCTGCACCTCTGTGAGAAGCTCCCGACACGCCCTGGTGTCGCTGACATTTAGTAGACCCTCCTTCTCCTTCTCCTCCTCCTCCTCCTCCTCCTCCTCCTCCTCGTGCTTTCTCCAGTGCAGAGTCGTGCTGGTGCCACGCTGCCTTCAGACACGGGGTGTTCAGGTGCCTCCTCAGCGTGTCCAGCCCAGGCTGCACACACACACACTTTTTCTTGAGACTCGGTAAAATGAAGTGGGTTCTGCTTTTGTACTGACACATGAGAAATTGTCTGTGGTGAAGAGAGAAGGAGGAAGAGTCTCCTCTCTTGCTACCTCTCCACAGCAGATCCTGCTTCATCTGGGCACCCACCAGCGCCCAGTGCTGCAGGGAACAGGGCCGATTCCCATCTCTCCTGTTAGACCCTTTCTGGGGAGGGTGTTCAGCTACCACGTGGAAGTCTCAGTGCACAGGAGCACTGGTGGCCAGCAGCCCCTTGCCCTTCTCCATACACTTGCAGCATCCTCTCCAGATCAGCAGCAGCTCAGTTGAGTAAGCAGACTTCGCCCCCTCTGTCTGCTTTTGGGTGTTTTTGTGTTACTGTCTGCTGAGTATCAGCACACCCCATCTTCCTCAAAAGGCTGCGTGCTGTCTCAGCCCCACACCTTCCCCACCTCCCCCTCCTGCAGACACTGGAGCTCGGGGGGACCTGCAGCGCTGCCAGCTCGGGTCACCTCACCCAGTCCTGTCCTAAATGGATCAGCTTCAGCACAACTTGGTGGCTTGTGCTTTGGGATGTCCAAGGTGAACCCCTGCTCTTGTAACAGACTCCTCTAACAGGCAGAGACATCACCAGCCCCTCAGGAACTCACTTTCCTTCCCAGGTGGCTCAGAAGCGTTCACTTTGGCATCTTGTCCTCTGCACCTTCTCACAGCAGGTCAGAGCTGTTCCTGCAGCTGGGAGGGGTGAGGAACGAAGCAGCACAGGCAGGACCAGACAGAGCTTATGGTCCCCAGCAGGCTCAAAAGCATCGGGCACTTCAGGGCTTGTCCTGGCTTCACAATGCAGGTAACTGCTCAGTGCTGGGGGGAGGTGGGACAGCTCAGGCTGGACCCAAATGTGCCAGTTCACTGAGCAGGGAACTTCCAAAAACCAGCCAGAACACCCAGGCTCATGGGAAGGAGAGAAAACACAGCTCAGGCAAAGTTTGTGTGGCTGGGAGACACCTTAAAGGCACTATTCTGCTTCAGCAAACTGAAACCAAGGCAAACCTCTGCTACTTGTGTAATTTTTAGGCTAATTTAGAGATAATATATTTAATCTGCATCAAATAACTGTGGTTAAAAAGCTATTATAAAAGGCATCAGTGCCAGGCAGCCACTGCCCAGCTCTCATCAATCACTGTCCTTTTCGGGGCAATCTGAGCAGCATCTGACTCAATTATCTGACCACTGGACAGGACACACATCACAGGGAGCAGAGAAGTGTTAAATGAGCTGATCAGCTAAATCAAGACCAGCCCCTCAGCTCTGCTGTTTGTAGAACCTCCAGAGGCAGCATCCAGGCAGAAATCTTTGTGACTGGTGCCTTTTCTGAACATGAAAATGCTACAAACAGTGAATGTTGAGCAGTCTGTGGCTCCTGGGAAAAGTAAACACTTGCCACTGCTGGGGAGGGCTGGTTCATTCCCTCCCAGCAGAGTTTAACACTGGAAGATCTGAAGATTCTGCATTGTTAAAACCAACATTACAGGGGGATGTTTCTATTTATTTTAATACAGTGTAATGTTTAATCACAGCCAAAACAGGGCTTCAGTAGGATGTGTACATGCAAGAGTCTAATCCTAAAGCTACTGATCACTTGCAGCCTTGCACCAGCTACTTCAACCCAAAGCTGATGTTTCACTCCCTGTCTCTCTCAAACCCACATTAACTGTACCTGAAGTTGAGGGTCCTGTGATTACCTCAGATCCTAGACACCCACCCAGTCTCAGCCCCTCCTCGGACATCATGCCAGCTCAGCTGTCACTTCAAAACCTTCTCCCCATTCTCCTCTCAGCAGCCCAGTGCCTCTGTGCTTCTGATCCTGTTCTGGGGTGCTCGGTGTGCAGGGTGATGGGGGTCGAAGACCATCAGCATTTGTGTCTGGCTTCAGGGGAGGGGACCCGTGCTCCCCTCAGCTCTCCAGGCACACGTCACCGGCTCTTCAGCAGGGTGGGATGTGCCTTGTCTGGGGGTTGGGTGACGGTCACAGCTCTGTGGCTGTCCCTGCTCTGGTCCCCAGGAGGGTCTCTGCTGCTCAGGAGCTCAGTCTCTGAACTGCTCCTCCAGGAGGGTGGGGAGAGACTCAGGTGCTGGCAGAATACCCAGAGGGGTCAGCCACGGTGCTGGCTGGGGGCGGGGATGGGTCTGACCGCCCAGCTGGGCTCTGTGCTCACAGGGCTGCTGGAGAGGCTGGAGCCAGGATCTCACCCAGCCCAGCCCCACGGTGCCCGATGCCAGAGACGACAGAAAGGAGGTGGGCAGGTGCTTTGCAGTTTGCTTTCTGCACATACTTCCAAGCTTTAACTTCAAAGTTTCGGTACACGCCAGGTTCTGTGTTGTCTGAGCCAATTCAAGCAAATTGTTTTCCTTAAAGAACAAGAATACTTTAAAATAAACAATTTACTATGTCTTTATGACACTGAACTTTCTTGTATAGTCATGTTCTCTACCGAGGGAGTTCTCAGAACACTTATTAAAGCTTTGTTGAATTTGATTGTGTAATTTGCATTCTATTTCACATCTTGGTGACTCTGACATATTCCCCTCAACACACACTCCCCATGAGCTCCTTTACAAAGAGGTGACCCCATGTGAACAAACATATGGCACTTCTCAGCAGTGCCAGTCTGTGCCCAAAAGGCCACACTGGGCTCTCTGCTCACCCTAAAGTTAACCTGACTGGTCTTTTTAATGGTTAATTTATCTGGTATCTTCAGCCTCATGTGAGAGCCCAGGTTACTCTGCTCACCTCTGCAGGAGTGGAAACTGGTGACTCAAATGTGTTGCCCAGGTCGCAGAGCTCGAGCTAGGTGGCAGTTGTGCAGCAGTGTGACTTCTCAAGACAGTGTAGTTCCTAATAAATTCCGCAGGAAGTCAGCTCAGAAAGAAAGATTTCAGTTCAGGCTGCTGCCACTTGAACTGAAACGTGTAATCGTTAACAGATCTGACATCAAATTACAATTCATTCAGCAACGAAGCATCTCATGGGAATTTAGTTGCTGTGTCTCACTTCTGTGCCCCGTGTGTGGAATTGAATTTCTCAAATCTCCTTGAGCCAAGTCACACGGGCATCCCGGGACAGAGGGATCCTGGTGCCTGGCCAGCACACGGGCTGCGTGGCCTCAGGCAGCAGAGCCCCAAAGGCTCCCCCACACCTCAGCAAGGTGTAACCAACACCGAGAAAAGCACAGGAGGTTTTAACACCCCGAATTCAAAGCCTTCCCTTATTTCCCACTAATTTTGCTCTAAGTGAATGGAAATGAAAACAGACTTTGAAATGCCACTTTGTGGGCAGGTGGAGGGTCTGTGCAGCTGGAGCCAGCTCTGCCTGTGGCTGCACCAGGACCTGGCACCGCCTGGGCTCGGCTCCCACGGCACGAGCAGCTGCAGGGCAGCAGCCAGACACCAGTGGGGTCCAGCATCAGGCTCAGCACTGAAGGGGGTTTAGCAGACAAGTGCCACAGTTCAGATCCAGGTATCACAGGTCCCTTGCAATGCACTGCCCTGTTCCCCTCTTCCCTGCACCCTGACACAGGTCAGGACAGCCTGGGGCACCCCGGAGGCACCAACTGCGTTCCCTGGCTCTTGGCTCTGCCATTCTGCTCCTTCACTGCCCTAAGCCACCAGGGAGCGTTTCTCCCCCTCGCTGTGGAAGCCAGAGTCACCCAGACAAAATCATTTGTGAGCTACGAGTGAACTGTACCCAGCTACCAACTTCCCAGTCACATCCTTCCTCTGACATCAGGAGTGACCCTGACATCTCCTCCACTGTTTTGTTTTGCCTGGCAATGCAAAACCGAGATTCTGGGGATCTCTCACCTCCAGCTTTGCCTCCTGCCCAATCACCCTTCCCAGCTCTCGAGCTACTGAGCTGGCATTTGGGGGGCACACAGGGAAAGTTCCTGTGTTGAAGTCAGCATCTTTACTCAGGGGGCAGCTTTAACGCAGTTGTTCCTCAAGCAAACAAAATAGGAGAAGTGAAATCATGAGTAAATTCCTGACATTAAGAGCTGGGATTCCTCCCCGAGAGGAGTTCCTAGAGCGGTTGTAGGGGATGCCCTGAAAAAGTCTCATGATCTCACATGAGGTTCTTGTGAGATCCTTATCCTCCAGCCGAGGAAGCAGTCTGCACAGCAGGCAGGCTGCTGCCAGGGACACGCAGTTGCCCACTTGGCCTGCTGGTCAGGCACAGCCCGGAGGGGCACACGCCTGGTGTCACTGGGAATTCACCTTCTCGGTGCCCTGCGTCACGTCCCAGGTGATGTCCTTTCTCACCAGTTCTATTGGGAAAAACAAAAGCAGTTCCACCAGACTGGCATCTGCTCTGTGCTAAAGCAGCTTCCTCAGGCTGCAGTGCAGGAATCGAGCTGTGACGAGGGAAATGGACCCAGAGACACGAGTGGGCAGAGGGAGCTCAGGCTGGCAGAGACACGGACACTCCGCTTGTCACCACCGAGGGGGGAGGACAAGCTGGGCCATCGGGCACTGACCACGGGTGCTGCTGGTCCCTCCATCCCCTCAGCCCTCGGGTCAGGGTGGCTCCTGTGAGATCTGCTCCATGCTGTTGCCCACACTGCCAGGTCCTTTTGTATACGGAGGGGTCTGTGGTGAAAAAATGGATCCTTTCTGGTCTGAACTCACACGAGAG